AGCGGAGTGGGCCTGCATCGCGGTTGGTTACCACCATCACCCTGAAATCTGGTCGTGGCCGGCGTGCCGCTTATGTCCTCCTTAGGCATTAGGGAAATAAGGCTGTTCCGAGACCAGTTTTGTCTCTGTCTAGGTGTTGGGGTCATAGACCTCAGCCCAAACCCCCTGGCCCGTATCAGAAGGGACCCCACATGCTGCCAGCATCCTCACAGGTTTCTCATACTCTCTCTCTTCCCAGAGAAGTGGTGGCAAACCTAGGGGTCGACGTCACCCGGATCAGTTCACATCAGAGCTGTGGACCGAGTTGAACAGCCTGGCCGGTAGGTTCATGCCGAGGAGCTGCTGGGGAAGGGTCTTGACGGAGCCCTGCAATTGGAGTGCTGTGATCTCACTGGGAGGGAGAAAGGCCTAACCTCCAACTAGCCTCTTCCTTCACTCCTTGGCCTTGAAGGCTGCTCAGAATCTGAGGATGGTCAGAAAGGAGCCAAGGGTGGAGCACCTGAGGTGTCTCTGGAAGAGGCACTCATGCGCCTTGCTGAGTTCCTCTCCCTCCAGTTGGGGGCGGAAGAGAGCTGTGGGACTCCTTCTGACCCAGGCAAGGTGAGAACATGATCTCCAGCAATTATTCCTACTCCTTTCCCCAGCCTCTGGATCCATACATCCCCAACTCCTCTGCCCTGGTTGTTTCCTTCCCAGCCTGGTGAGGTCCCCCCCCTGTTGACAGTAACAAGTCAGCTCTTGGCCCTTCTGGCATGGACACGGAGCCCGAGGGGGAGGCAGGTCCTGCTTCAGGGGACACAGCCAGCCTGCCCAGTGCAGCCCTCCAATCTAGATGGTTTGTAAAGGGTACCACTGTTTGTGGAGGTAGTAGGGTCTATCAGAATGGGCTCTGCTCTCTCTAGGTAGACATTTCTTTACTTGTAACTGGGCTCACCGCTCTTTAGGGTCTCTGTCACAAGAAGAAAGTTCCTCTCAACCCACTCCGATCCTGGATGAGGTACCAGGGGATGAGACCCAGGAACATCAGCCTCCCCAGTTGGAGGAAGAACAGAGAGCTTGGCAGCGGTTGGAACAGCTTATTCTGGGACAGGTAAGCGAATCAGAAGCAGCAGGGATGGGGCTGGCACGAGACCCAAACAGGAATGCCATCCTGTCCCTGATTTCTCCACAGCTGGAAGAGCTGAGACAGCAGCTGGAGCAGCAGGAAGAAGAGCTGAGCAGACTGCGCCTGGGAGTGGTGAGGCCATTGGGGTGAATACAGGGAGCAGACTGGAAAGTCAAGGGAACTTCAGGGGAATCCTGACAGCATCCCTCTCTGTCAGGGGGTGACAGATTCAGAGAAAAGAGTTCAGCATCTCACGCTGGAGAATGAAGTCTTGAAACAGAGCTTGAGCCTTGCTCAAGACCTCCTGCTGCGCTGGGGCCCTGGCCCCCTTGCCAGAGCTCAACAGGTACTCTGCTATTTCGCTGCTGTGTTTTCTGCAGTCAGGCTCCTGTATCTTGGTATTCAGCAACAGTGCTCAAGCCACCTTAGGACTTTGTGTTTGCTTTAGTAGGGGACCATCTCCAACTATGGAGAAACTCTGGGACAGCCTTTGTAGGGTAGCCCCATCAGTGAGGCTGATGCTCATAGAAGACCCCTCACCCCATTTTTGGTCTCTTTGAGTGACCTTAGGAGAACAGAGAGATGGGAACAGAGAGCCTGCATGGAGTTGGGTACCATGGGTTTAGGCATTCTTGCCATTCTTGATTTGGCCTTCCCATCTGTGAAATGGGACTACAAGATACCCTTTCCTGAGTTTCCATTTGGCTTTATGGCCCATCTGGCTCCTGCTCTCCTATAGGAGGAGGCAGGGGCTCTGTTGGAGCTACAGGACCAGCTTCAAGAGGCCCAAGACACCACAGAAGCCCTCCGAGCCCAGGTGGGCTAGGGGACCTAGGGATAAGGAGGGCTGTGATGCTGGGAGGTGAAGTCTGGGGCAGGGCCTGGTGCCTGTTTCCTCAGTGACAGAAGTGGGGTTGGGAGGGACAGCTGGGGGTGCAGGAGATGCAGCTGCAGGGCCTTCGAGGGGCCCTCCAGCAGCTCCAGCAGGAGACAGAACAGAACTGCAGACAGGAGCTGCAGCAAGTTCATGGACAGCTGGCAGGTAAGGGCTAGGAGAAAGTAGTTTCTGGGAAAGCTCTGGAATCTGTTCTTCTCCTCTCAATGGCCTTCCTTCTCTAGGACTTCGGGCTCGGATGGCCAGCCTTCGTCAGGGCTGTGGAGACCTCCGAGGACTGGTCAGCACCTTTACCCAGAGTTGTCAGGGCTCTCTGAGTGAGGCCCAGGGCCAGGTCAGGACCTCTCCCTTCTTAGTACCTTCTCTATGAGCAGCCTGTCTGTTCGCTGTTCTTCCTAGGGGAGCCTCTTATTGTTTCTCCCATTCTGTCCCTCAGGAGCTGCCTATACTAGTGAGTCAGTTGTAGGCATTTGGATTAGAATAATTTCTGAGTGACTCAAAAGTGTCCTCGTTTCTTTTATTTCCTTTTTGGGGAGGGGTGGTGGGGGTAGTGGTTTCAAGACAGGATTTCTCTTTGTAGCCCTGACTATCCTGGAACTCACTCTGTAGACCAGGCTGGCCTTGAACTCAGAGATCCACCTGCCTCTGCCTCCCAAGTGTTGGGATAAGTGGTATGTGCCACCACTGCCTGGCTGTGTCCTCATTTCTGTGCTGTGAAAACTGGCAGTTGCTGAGAAGCCCATAAGGACAGATGATAGAATGAATATTTTTGCCTATGCTTCCTAGATTCTATTGCACTCACTGAATGATGCCCTCAGGGGTCCATACCCACTGAAAGTTGTATGCCACATTGGTCTCAGCACCCGACTTCACTTGGAGTTGCCTGGGCACTTGTCTTTGTTTTCCTCACAGGTATCCTGGGCCCTTGGGGCTTTGTCAGCTGGAGGGGCTAGGACTCAGCTCTCAGAGGGGCAGCAGGGACCCCCAACTGGATGCGCAGGACGGCTTTTGGAACTCAAGGGTAAGACTGGCTTTGGGAGTGGAGCAGTGGTGACTACAGGATGGAAGAAGAGCTCTCGATGTTTCAGGGCTAAGGAGACAATCTGCTGATGTGGTCCCCAATTCAGGCAATATCCGTGTGCTGTGTCGGGTGAGACCAGCTGAAGGGATACCTTCCAGCCTTGTGAGCATGGAGCCTGGACAAGGGGGGACCATCACCACCTGCTACCGAGGGCGCCAGCATCGCTTTCGCCTGGACTGGGTCTTTCCTCCAGATGCCAGCCAGGAGGAGGTGACAGCGAACTTTGCATCTGTCCTGACCCTTCCTCAGAGTCCCCTGAGTCCAGAAGAGGCCCATTTCCTCTTCCATGACTGAGTACCTAGAAGGTGGGAGGCTGGGCTCCATCAGGGAAGGGATGAAAGTCCATGGAGGCAGGGTTGGCTGTCCAATTGAATGCCAAGGAAAATGAACCCATCCAAGGTGAGTTACTGTTTGTATAAACCTGGCTGCAGAGCATAGATGGGTGCTACAATGGTGAAGACAGGGCTATGATCCTATGGGCGATGGCAGGGAGCCTTTTCCACCCAGGTTCCACTGACACAGCCTTCTTATGATCCAGGCTCTGCCTATCAGTGAAGGCAGAACCTCTACTTGCTTTGTGATCCTAAGGCAGGTTAGGTGAGCCCATAGCTGATAAGTGAGCAGGGCAGCTGCCAGCCTCAGGACTTCCCCACTGCCTACTCTGATCTATACTACTCTTCCCTCTTTTCTGGCTAGACACCAGTGGGAAAGCAGTCTACCTCAACTCGTTTCACGTATGTCTCCATTTGCACATAAACTGTGCTGCTGGAGTTTCTGTGACTGAGGTGGAGGCTCAGAGCTGAGGAGGGAATAGGTAAGGGACATAGCTGGCAAAGAATACCCAGGCTACCTGCTGGTCTCAGAAACAGTATAATGTAGTGGCTAGCAGGAATAGACCCACCTGACTGATCTCTGTCTTATACATGACTCTGGCCTCATTTCCCACCCCAAACTGCAGCCATGCACAGCTCCCTATACTTTTCTACTATACTTTGGGCAGCCTGGACCCAGTCCTCAATCTAACAAACTGGACCAAAGGTATCTCCCATGAAGTTCCTCACCATTGTACCCAGTCCTGAACTTTTCATCCTAACTCTGGTAATTCCAGACTTTGTTTATATGATAATCTATCAAGACATCAATCTGAAATGACAGCCACTCAATTTCTAGGGACCTTCTGATGTGAAAGTTGGCCATATAGTATCCACATTTCATCTAACATTATGAATGTTTTAGACCTATGTGTCTCTCAGCTGTTTCTCAGAGCTAGAGTTCCAGTCTTGTCTGGTAGCTAACCCCTATATTCACAGGACCCTCTTGGATTTTTTTGTTTTGTTTTGGTTTTTTTGAGATAGGGTTTCTCTATGTTGCCCTAGCTGTCCTGTAGATCAGACTGGGCTTTGTTGTTGTAGTTGTTTTGGTTTTTTCGAGACAGGGTTTCTCTGTGTAGCTTTGGAGCCTGTCCTGGCACTCACTCTGTAGACCAGGGTGGCCTCAAACTCACAGAGATCTGCCTGCTTCTGCTTCCTGAGTGCTGGGATTAAAGGCATGCATCACCACCTCTGGGCTCCTGCCTCTGCTTCTTGAGGGTTGGGACTAAAGGCATGAGCCACCATTCCATGTTTATGTTTATTCTTTTCTTGTCAGGTATTACTCAGGTTCTCCAGCACACATTCCCATTAGTTGCCATAGAGAGGAATGACCCAGAAAAGCATAGAAAGGATGGTTAGTGTCTGGCTTCTAGTCACCTCAGGTTTTAACCTGGAAGTCCAGCCCTGACATCTAAGCTCTGGACCACTGCCCCCAGGACCTCTTCCAGGTCTCGAATAGGGAAACAGAAAGGGGCTGAGGACACTTCTTCCATCATTTTTTGTCCCCAGGTCTTCAGGCAGCTAGAGCCAGCTGTGTTGTCTTGCCTCCAGGGGTACAGTGTCTGCATCTTCACTTATGGTCAGACTGGGACTGGGAAAACCTACAGTATGGAGGTGGGTTGGAGTTCACATTTGGGGGTGGGAGGTGGGGAGCCTCAGGGGTTTGTATGAGTGTCCGATGTGGCACTGCACACTGTCCTCAGGGCCCACCTGAGGACCCTGGCATAGCTCCTAGGGCACTGCAGTTGCTGTTCCGGGAGATGGGGACTGGAGGGCACCACCATGTAACCCTCAGCATGGTGGAGATCTACAACGAGGCAGTCAGGTCAGGGATGCATTGGCGGCTTTCTCCTTGCCCCAGGGTTCTACAGCCACCTTTAGAACCCATAGACCAAACCCACCCTTTCTTACCAGGGACCTGCTAGCTACAGGACCTCCAGAACGTCTGGTTGTGAGGCAGGGACCTGCAGGGCAGGGGGGAATTCAAGTGACTGGCCTCACACACTGGGATGTGCCTAACCTAGAAACTCTGCACCAGGTAAGGCCTTCAGGCCTCCATCTGCTCCCACCTGGGGGCGAGGTATGTGTGTGTGTGTGTGTGTGTGTGTATGTATGTAGAGAGAGAGTGTGTGTGTGTGTGTGTGTGTGTGTGTGTATGTATGTTTGTAGAGAGAGTGTGTGTACACATACACACACACGTACGTATATATCTAGATGCTGAGTCTGGGGAGGAGCAACCGAGCTACAGCAGCCACTGTCATGAACCAGCACAGCTCACGCTCCCACGCCCTAGTCACGCTGACTTTGCGCGCTGCATCTCCATCTTGTGCCCAGGGTATCACAGGTACCACCGACTGTGCTTAAGTCCTGCTGGGTTTCCAGCTCACTAGAGGTCTCCCTCCACATCAGTTTCATTTGCATCTGCAGGCACACTGCACCTGGTGGACCTGGCAGGATCCGAGCGCGTGTGGAAAGCAGGGGTGGCCAGCACCCTACAAAGAGATCCCAACGGCGCCCGGCGTCTGCGGGAGGCCCAGTCAATCAACCGCTCTTTGCTGGCGCTAGGAGGGGTGATGGCCGCGCTCCGAGCTCGGCGGCCGCACGTACCTTTCCGAGACTCACAGCTTACACGCCTGTTACAGCCGGCACTTGGCGCCGGCACCACTGCAGTGCTGCTGCTGCAGGTGGGTCCCTGGGCTGGTGCAAGCCGGAAGTACTGCTCACCGGGACTATGTATGAGTGCCTCTCTCTTGTAGATCTCCACAAGGACTGAAGATCTTGGGGAGACCATCTGCTCGCTCAAGTTCGCCCAGCGAGTGGGTCAAGTCGAACTGGGGCCAGCCCGGAGACGTAGGGCCCCACGCTCTGGAACCCCTTCTTCTCTCAGTACCGACACCCCACTCACTGGGACTTCCTGCACCCCTACACCATCTCCTGGCAGCCCTCCAAGTCCCGGCCCCAACAGCTGTTCTGGTTTGACTCTCGAGCCTCCAGGGGACCTGCCTCCTTAGGTCTGGGTCAAAGCCCTTGGAACTAGGCTTGAGAATATACCTCTGCTGGCAGAGGCAGCAGTGAAGTTCCTATACCCCATTTCCCAGGTCAACTTTTTTTTTTTTTTTTTTAACTCAGGCCCTAGCTGCCCCCAGAGTCCCACAATTTCCCCTTTGCCTTCTTGATCTGGCCAGGGAATGTTGTGCTTGGGAGAAATGATTGCCTCCACCCTTCCACCCCCAACTGGGCCACAGGCCCTTAGCTCTCACCTTATCACCATTTGCCCTTATCGCAGCACACAGCAGGGGGTCTAGAGCTGCAGGAACCAGACCCCAGACCAAGTGGTTTCCCAAGTCACCACCCTGCCCCCAATATCAGACTTGGAATTAAAGTTGTAAATTCCTTTACTGTTAATCTCTCCCCCTCCTTCCATCACTCCCAAATCATGTAGGGTCCAGTCTTTCATTTCCTAACCCTTTTCCCCAAAGGTGCTACCTCCTACCCAGGCAGCTGAGGGGCGGGGGCAAGACTTCAGATTGGACCCACTTTTGGCTCTCCCTCCCCCAGCCTGGAGCCAGGAAGGCGTGGTGACAGAGGGATGGATAGATGGATGGCATGGAGGCTTGAGAAGGTGGGATCAAGAAAAAGAAGCCCTAATCTAAGCTGAGCATGTTTGTCCAGACCTGCTGTATCTAGCAGAGGCAAAACCCTTTTTGGAGTAACCCAATTAAAGTTGTGGGTTTTCAGCAAGGCTGTGCCTGGTGTTTTAAAGCTGTTGCTGTGGACATGCTCCTAGCTCTGGTTCTCCATCAAAATGGTATCCAGGCATGGAAGGGAAAAGCAGCCCCTGCCTGCCTTGAACTATTACAGGCTGTACCACGAGAGCAGCCAGCCTGGGGCAGGAGCCGCCAGATCCCAAGGGTGGCTGACCCACACATCATAGATGCTCTTGTTGGGTGGTACTCCCTGGAAGAGGGAATCTAGATCACAGAGCAGGTCCTGGGATCCTTGGGATTCAGTACCTACACTCCAGTAGGCTGGGCTGGTTGAAGGTGGGCACTGGGGACACGAGGTGGGAGGTAGTGTGGTCAGGGGCATTACTACGTTGGGAGTATAGATAGGCAGGTAGGAGGTGGGTAGCTGACCCCACAAGGAAGCTCTGCACCCGTCGTTGGTCATTCCCATGGGATCTGGGGAACCCTGAAGTAAGTGAACAGGCCAGGTGCCTTGCTCTGGGGGAAGGGGAGAAGGCCTGATGACTTCCCCTTGGGAAGTCTCCCCCTCTATTCTTGAGGGCCCAGGAAGGGAGCAGAGGGGCCACAGAGGCTTCTCAGAGGAGTTAGGGGGTACAGTGCACACCCCTTCTTCCCCCTTGGACCAGGTGCCTGCCTGAGCTGAGCTGCTCTGCCCAGCAAGCGCAGGTTGCTGGGGCCGTGTTGGTCCTTTCCCAGGGTCCTCTAGCAGGGACTTGATGCTGAAACCCTCCCTGGATGGTGGTGAGGGAATGAGCGGCCGGTAAGGCCGGCCATGAAGCACATAGGGGCTCAGGTCCTTGACGAAAGTTCTGGGTGTGCCCCGGGTCTGCCATCGCCGGCACAGGGCAGTGTTCTGAAGGCGCAGCGCCTCTGCTGGGATCAGGCTCACATCCACCGCCCAGAAGTTGCCCTTGGCCTGGGGCTTTGTAGGGTCCCTGGGCACCTAGAGAGTGATTGGTTTGGGTGTGGCTATCCCACCCAGAAGTTCAGGGTTTCCCTGCCCATACCGCCCCCAGAGTTTGACCATAGACCACCCTACCTTACGGAAGCACCGGTTAGAGGAAAGGTTGTGGCGGATGGAGTCCTTCCAGCCTTCGTAGTCGTCCCTGAAGAAGGGGAACACTGCCTGAACCTGACGGATGATCTGAAACCAGGCAAAGTGTTTGGCAAGGTGAGACAGGGGTAGGAGCATTGCCCTCACAGCCGGCACCAGGGCACCCTTCTCAGGGAGACAGATCTCTGTGCTTGAGAGCAGAGTCGATGGGGCTTGTGGAAAAAGAGTCTTGAAAAGAGTTCCTGAGCTTCAGGACTGGTCTCACTGGCAAGGATAAGTGGACTAGGCAGAGGCAGAGCGAGCCTGGGCCTACAGTAAGTGGGGAGCAGGCCTGGGACAGCTATGACCCACAAACATGAGGGACCCTCTCACCTGAGCCAGCTTCAGCCTGCGTAAGGGTGCGGCCTGAATTACCAAGGCGATCATGGCCAAGTAGGTGTAGGGGGGCTTGTCATGCCGCAGGTATCTCTTCTTCCTCCTCTTGGGGGGAGACTCTGCCTTTGGAGACCTCAGATGAGAGTTGTTGCAAGGCCCCATGCAAGGGAGGCAGCCCTGGGCTGGGGTCTGTCCTAACAAGGGACCCAAGGCAGATGGACTGGAAGTCGAGGTTGGGTCCCAGCCAGAGGCCATGCTGGGACTGGCAGGCCAGTCCCTTTCTTTATCATTCTGATGGAAGGGGGAGGGGTGAGAGGAGGAGGTTGTGGGGGAGGGGAACATGTGAGGACCGCCACAATTAGCAGGGTTCAGTTAATCTTGGAGGGAAGGGCAGGAAAGTTCCAGTAGGGACTTTTGGTGATATCTTGAAGTCAGTCTCTACTTCCAGGTTGCCTTTGGGTACCTGGGCATCCCCTATAACCTGGAAGGAAAAGCCCTTGAAAAAGTCTACCCCAGGATACCTTATCTGCCTGGGTCAGGTCCCTAGATCCCATTTAACAGATGGGAAGTGTCTTCCCCAGCCAAATTACCCTGAGAGGGATGGGAAATTTCCAGGAGTTCAAGATGAAGTAGTCAAGAAGAAGTCATGCCCTAGGTAGGGGGTCTGCAACCCAGGTCTAGACTGGGGAGGTGGGGGCAGATGGGTGGATGGGCTGAGGGATGACTTCTCAGACCAAAAAGGCATACAGCCTGTCCCCCAAAACAAGGGGAGGGCAGAAATTTAAGTGACTTTTTCCAGGAGTACGTTACAGTAGCCCATGTGGGCCCTTACCTCTTCCTTGGCCATCTAACTGCTGGCTCTACCCTTGGGCTCAGTCACCATCTATGTACTAATTGTTAACCAAGTTCTCCTGGATACTACACTGGGCAGGTTTGCAATGAGGGTCAGAATCATGGCACTGACAGCAGAGGTTGGTACCAGAGTCAATGGTCCCAGATCTGTCTACATCAACACTGAACACTTTGGGAATTCACCTTTTCCTGCGCAGCCCCTCCCCATTATACCATCAAAGGACTGACCGAGACCCTTGCTGGTACCAAGGAAGGCACAGTCATGAGTGCAGGAGGGAGCAGGGTGGGGGTGGGGGTCGGGCACACATGGAGGGTAAATACAGTGGGACTTCACTTCTCCTAATTGTCCTACCCATGCCTGGGTTGTGGTCTTATACCAGACTCTTCTTTCAGTCCTCGTCTGCCTTCCCCTGGAATCCTATCACCTCCTGCCCCTCTGCTTTCCGTTCTCAGGACTCTAGCTGAGGGTTCCTATGTCCCACCAGACAGATACCGCTGGCCTCCGCCCTACTCAGCCCTGCTTCCAGGCTAAAGCCTGGCTCCTTGGTCTGACATTCAAGGGTCCTCATCCTGGCTGCTTCTCCCCGACCACAGTGTCCTAGGGCCCAACCATCATCCAAACTGCTGTCCATCCTCTGGGACACGCTGCTCCCTCCTTTGACCAACAATGAAGGGAAGACTCCAACCCTTCTTTCAAAGACCAGGACAGAGATGACCCTTCCGGGAACACCTGAACACTTGCCCTTCCCATCCCACCCGAGACGTCAGGATGTTTGTGCCACAGAACAGAGGACGGAAAATCCTCGCACAGACTCAACCCATCTACCGGGGCTGGCCCGGCTTCTGGATGGCGCTCTTTAGGCTCCGCCCTTGTAGAACGGCTCTGCCCAGGACTCCCACCCGGCACCGCGGCTTCCGCTCCGGACACCTCGGACCGGAAGTGTCGCGTTGCCATGGCGAGGATGGGCGCGGGGCCCGCCCCCGTGGAGCCTGGAGCAGCGCTGGGCCCCAGGGTCGGCCGGGCAGGGTCTGGGAAGCGGCTAGGCGGGCTCCAGATGAGACAGCCGGCAGTTGTAAGTGAGGGTCAGTCCTGTATGGGAACGTAGGGGCAGTCGGGGCGAGGCCCGGCGCGGAGCGGTGGGGCGGGGCATGGCGGGTGAGCCGGCGCTGCGGTCTCTGCGGCCCGGAGCTGGTCCTGCGGGGCAGAGGAATGGGTCGTGAGGGGCCTGCAGGAGGGGCGCCAGCGAGGCGGCCCCCGGGGGGTTTTTTGTCAAACCTAACAGCACAGGTAGTTCTTGCAACCTGTTGTTCAGGTAGATCGACCGACAGTCTTCATTCTGACAGGTCAGTGAAGGAAGGGACTTTCCTGTGCTTCCTGTGGGTTTGGAGTTCAGTAAAGCACACTCTCGAGCCTCTTAAGGCTTCAAGTGCCCTCGCCTGGAGGCTGTGCCTCATGAATTGTGGTTAGGAGAGGAATGTAGACCAGCCTGTGAAAAGTGTTTGGGCTTCTTTGGGTTCCTGGATGAGCCAGTGCCGGAGGCTTGAAGCAAGGAGGGTTAATTATTACGGGTGCCGAAGAGAGGTGTGTATTGGCTTGCCCCAGACTCGAGAGACAGAGCGAAGCTATCTGACCCCCTAAGCCCTCCTTTCTTCCTGGTCCTTACTTGGGGGTTCAGGTGGAGGCGAGGGCATCGATACCGCAGTTAGCCCTCTATGGTGTCTTTGCTCCCCGGGAATTCCCTTATAGAGGTTTGGTTTGAAGGCTGTGTCTTGCTGCAAGCACCCTAGCTCTCAAGAAGGCCGCCTGATTCACTTCAAGGGAACCAGAGCTGCCATTGGCCCAGCATGAGAGCTGAGTTGGTTGAGGGACTGTTGGCCTGGTGAGACCTGCCCTGACTTCGTATTGTCATCGTGATGGGACTCTTAGAGCTCTGAGGGGCCACTTGCCTGCCTCTGCTCCAAGTTTTGCCCAAGGAGGTTTATTTTTTTATTTTTTTATTTTTTTGGCCTTTCCCTCTCCTGATACCTTAGTTAGGTTTCTTCCTTATTGACTCAGAGGCCCTCCTGACCTCCCCCCCTTTTTTTTGAAAGGAATAATTCTCTTAAATATTATTTATTATTGTTTGGGACGGGTGCATGCCATGGTGTTCATGTGGAGGCTAGAGGACAACTTTGTGGAGTCCATTCTCTCTGTATGTCTCTTTTTTTTGAGGCAAGGTCTCTCTATATGGCCCTGGCTGGCCTGGAATTCATAGAGATCCACCTTTTTCTGCCTCCCAGGGATTAAAGGTGTGAGCCAGCTGGTTGGGGGTAGTGGCACAGGCCTTTAATCTCAGCACTCGGGAGGCAGAGGCAGGCAGATCTCTGTGAGTTCTAGGCCAACCTGGTTTACAGAGTGAGTGTCAGGACAGGTTCCAAAGCAGGAACTCTGTCTCAAAAAACCAAAAAAACAAAAAAAAAGAAAGAAAGAAAGAAAAAAGAAAAAGGAAAAAAGAAAAAAAATGTGGGCCAGCCAAACCCAACTCATTCTCTCCTTCCACCTTGAATGTGGGTTCCAGGGAGTTGAACTCAGGCTTGCAGGGCAAATGGCATTACCTGCTAATCTCTCTCTTTTCACCTTTTTAGACAGGACTTCAGTGTGTCACCTAGGCTGCCTTGGGATTTATACCTCCCTGTTCCAGAGTGCAGGGCTAGTGGACACAGGCCTGGTCCCTCCTGCCTCTTCATCACCAGTGTAGTGGGGAGAACTGGACTCGGTTCTGTGCTAGCAGGCATCCTGCAGCTGGACTTCTATACTCTGGACTCTGTCTGAGGGATTCTTGAGTCTATGCTATGATCTGTCTCACCAGCTGGTTACGGCAATGCCTTCACTATAGGCTGCTGAAGTATCTCAGTCACAGATAACCAGGCTCCCAGCCCTGACTTCCACACTCTCTCTGTCCCACCCACCTACTGGTCAAAACAAGGTATCTGAGGCAGCCACAGGCTGTTTTCCCACCTCTAGACTCTCTTGGAACTCCCTCTTGCATGTCCCATGAACAGTAACATACACACCAGAGTAAGGTCTATGCATGTCCTGTCCCATTCTGTGTTATACTCACCGTGCTGACATATTCAGGTGACTGTTCATCATTTACTGAATGCTTCCTGTAAGTCAGGCACTGGGCTAAACTCTTAAGAGAACTGCAATAAATCCAGAGTAAATGACATGTTAAATAAAACATGATGAGATAAGAGAGTTACAAGGTAGCCATGGGAGACTACTGACAAGGTAATACTTGAGATTAAGGTGTGATCTACATGGTTCTAAGGTACAGTGGGAGGACTTTCCAAACAGGAGCAACAGTGATTTGGAGGTGGGATAAGGATGACAGTGGTAGTACCAGGTAAATGTGACAGGCTTGGGCGTAGAAAACCTCAAAATGTTTCAGATTTTTCAGCCACATGATCTTCAAGACACTTCTGCTGTCTTGTAGAAAAATCAACCCCAGACCACACACAACTGAAGAGCTCTTTCAACAAAATTTGTATTTTCTATCATATACTGAATGGTATTGTTACCTTTTTATTGTTGTTATTATTATTACTGAAAGTAATTTTCAAAAGATTTATTTTATGGTCACTGGGTTTGATGGTGCACACCTTTAATCCCAGCACTTCTGAGGCAAAGGCTGGCAGATCTCTGTGGAGTTGAGGCCAGCCTGATTTGCAGAGCAAGTTCCAGGACAGCCATGGCTATGCATAGAAACCCTGTTCTGAAAAACCAGGAAAAAATTAATTTAAGTAGTCCTGTTTTTATCCTTTTCATGGTCTATAGGAATTGTATGTAGTATGTTCCCGAGCATGTGTGTGGGGTATCTTGTGTGTGTGTGGGGTGGGTTTGGTTTTGTTTTGGTGATGCTGTGGATTGAACCCTGGGCAAAAAACCCAGGGCATCATCTCACATGATAGGCAAGTACTCTGTCACCTACTACATTAGCCTTTCTTTGTTTGAAGAAGGATCTGACTATATAACCAGGGTAGCCTTGAACTTGTCATCCTTCTACCTCTGCCTCCTTTTTGGGATTCTGTACATATGCCATTATATCCTGGCCCAGCACTCAGATTTTTATTTGGAGATGGGGTCTTGCTATGTATAGCCCAGGCAGGCCTGAAACTCAGTTTCCCAAAATCTTTGGTTTCAGGAGTAGATTGCTATGTCTGGCTTCTGTTTCCAAACTTCTTGAGACAGAAACTCTGTATTCATTAAACAAGAACTCCTGTTCCCCCTCCTCTAGTGCTGGAGGGTTGTACTATACTCTGTTTCTAGGAGTTTGCCTCAATAGGCTGAATCATAAAAAATGTGGGGCCTTTTATGTCTTACATTTTTGAAGCATGTATCAGAATTCCATTCCTTTTTATATCTGGGTAATATTCCACTGTATGACTGTGCCTAGTTTATTCCTGTTTTGTTTGTTCTGTGTTGAAAGGTGATTTGATTGCTTTCACTTCTTTTCTATTGTGAATGCTGCTGCTGTGACTATGACTGTATAGGTAACCAGCTTGTAGCTTTTCTCTTGGAAATGTTATCAACCAAGTAATGTTGTTCCTTTTCCTTTTCTGCTGCTGGGTTGATAGAGCTACATTTCATTCTTTAATTGAGGTTCTAAGTCTTATAGTGCAAAAATGGAAATAATATCCATCTGTCTTTAGAGCCAGGTGTGCACATTAGATCATTTTGTCTGTGGATCTGTTTTCTTACCTCTTGTAACCTATGAGTAGCAACCATGCTCAAAGGGAAGCTGCTTTCTCACTCATCCCCAGCCTCCTTTGTGAAACCCTGTGTTTATTTGAGATAGGTTCTTTCTTACTGTGTAGTCCAGGCTGGTCTTGAACTCAGTATGTAGAACAGACTATCTTTGAACTTGTGATAATCTCTCTCTCTCTCTCTCTCTCTCTCTCTCTCTCTCTCTCTGTCTTTTGGGGGGGTTTGAGACAGGTTTTCTCTGTGTAGCTTTTGGAGCCTTTCCTGGCACTCGCTCTGGAGACCAGGCGGGCCTCGAACTCACAGATATCCGCCTGCCTCTGCCTCCCGAGTGCTGGGATTGAAGGTGTGCGCCATCAACGCCCAGCTTTTTTTTTTTTTTTTTTTTTTTTTTTTTTTCTGTGATAATCTCTTGAGTGCTAGTATTACACCACATTTGGCAATCTTGAGGGAGTTTATTTGTATGTGTGTTTGTGGTTTTTTTGAGACAGGGTCTCTCAGTGTAACAGCCCTAGTTGTCCTGGAATGCACAGAGATCTGCCTCCGAAGTGCTGGCATTAAAGGCATATGCCACCATGCCCTTCGTATGTTTTGCTTTGAGACAAGGTCTGCATAGTCTAACTTGGCTTCAGACTTGCTTGAGGCTGGCTTAGATCATCTTTGAAGTACCACTGTGTGGCACCATGGCCCACTTCCTTAAGGTAGTTGAACTTTATCGTGCTATGTACTGTGTTTTCGTTTCCTTAGTGACTTTAGGGCCAGATCAGTGTCTTGCCAGTTCCCACCATTTTTTTCTTGCCATCTCATTTCCAGGAATTTTCTAACAAACTGTAGCAAACTGTAGACATCCGGGGGGTGGGGGGTGGGGTCCGTCTCCATTGATCATGTCTTGTGTATAAAGGGAGTCTCAGAAGCATGGACATTGTTTATTGTAGGATCCTATGTTCCTTGTTCTAAGTCTGGAACCCTTCTGACTGTGCTTCTTCTATCCACTGCTCCAAAACCGGTGTCATAGCTGGTCACTTGGCCCCCAGGGTGTTTGACCTGCCTCATATGTATTTGAGTCATGGTCTCTCTGGGACTAAAGTGTGAGTCAG